CCCCCTCTTTTCGGGTATAAATCGAAAAAAAATCGATCGTACAAAAAAAAAAGCAGAATTGTAGGAAATTTAATTTTAAACAACCTTGTTTATAAAAATTTTTCTCGTAAAATTGAAAATAAACGAGTTATTCTATAACCAAAAATTCACCCCCTCTTTTCGGGTATAAATCGAAAAAAATCGATCGTACAAAAAAAAGCAGAATTGTAGGAAATTTAATTTTAAACAACTTTGTTTATAACAATTTTTCTCGTAAAATTGAAAATAAACGAGTTATTCTATAACCAAAAATTCACCCCCTCTTTTCGAGTATAAATCGAAAAAAATCGATCGTACAAAAAAAAAGCAGAATTGTAGGAAATTTAATTTTAAATAACTTTTGTAAAAACTATTTTCCGTGTAAAATTGAAAATAAATGAGTTATTCAAGATACAAAAAATAACCCTTTAAATCAAGATGGCGGAGGTAACGACAACTTTGGAATCCCAACTTTTTGAATTTAGACTACCAGAGACCCCCTCCAACGAATTCCGAAGGAAAATTGCTGCTTCGAATTTTTCAGAATCTAAAATACTAATCCGATTGGGCTAATATATCTAGACCAAAATACCGTATGTTTTCAAATAATCGATATACGAAGGACTATCAAAAACCCACCATTTTGGTTTTTCGGAATTTATTCAAAAACCAAAAATAAATAACAAAATGTAATAGCAGTTCTGAAATGGTAATAGAATCCTGAGAATTGCCCATTTAACCGATTTTGTAGCTCTTATAATAACCGAGATAGCAATACATGCAGCACCAATCTGGGACACAATGTATATTAGAAATGTAAATGAGTCATATTTGAAAAAGAAGTTGTACTTAGAAACAATTGTGCAATTTTTAATTTTTATTTCTTTAAATAAAAGTGTGAAAATCTACCATGTTTGGTTTTTCTCATTTTAATAATATGGATTTTCATCAAATAAAGGCCGAAAGTATCAAGAAATTAAAATGAAATGGTATTAAATACTTACCGCTAATGGAGTCTATTCTGTAACAATTCCTTTATATTTAACGGCCTTTAAAAATATTTTCTTCTTTACTTCTGTCATTATTTAAACGGATCTTTATAATACATTAGAGGACTATCTTAAAGAAATCTGTTTAAATAATGACAGAAGTAAATTAACGAATACAAATATACTTTTAAAGGCCGCCAATATTTTTAAAGGCCGTTAAAGATAAAGGAATTTTTACAGAATAGACCCCTATATAGCCTATAAGTAAATGCAAACAACGTAAACAGTAAATCACAAATAAATAATGTTCATATGTCTTCGTCAGATTCTTCGTTGGAAGAAGACTCGTCACTGTCGTCACTGGAATCCTCATTAGGATTAATGACGATAGAATTAATTTCCAAACATAAATCAGTTTGTATTTCTCTTTCAAAATATTTATCTTCTACCTTTATAACATGATCGCATCTCTTTTTCAATTCCTCCATACCGATTTTGTTAAATTCTTCTTCTGCTAATTGTTTTGCGTCTTCTAATTTAAAGGTAACATTCCTTTGACTGACATTATTCTGAACAGTTGCCCAAATCAATTCGATAGGGTTCAAGTCGGGGTGATATGGGGGTAACCGTAAAGCGGTGTGGCCGTATTCTCGACACAACTCATCAAATGCATATGTTACATGTCGATCCTTAAGAGATTTAATCAGTTCATATAACTCTGGTTTCAAACTTGTTGGATTAAAAGGTATGTTGTATTTTGTCAACCATTCGATCATATCATTCTTCAAAGAATTGGAATTAGGTGCTCGATTTGTCTGTACATTGTGATAACTAGCATTATCATTTTTTCCACCAAAACTTTACGATTATTTTGTGTTTTTCTCCATTTAAATTGTAATTTTTTAAGGACTCTTCTTAATGAAGTTTCTGATATGTGGATATCTAAATCTTCCTTAATTTTATTATTTAACCTTTTAACAGTAACACGAGTTAAATTATTCTACGAATGTCCCTCAATTGATATTCAGGGAGATTCGTAGCGGTTGATTTTTTGACGAAGTTTTTCCTAGGTGTGGAAAATGTAATTTTTCCAGTTGTTTCCATTGGCTATTTACCTTTCTTCAAAATTCTTCTAACGGTAGTATAAGAAACACCTGTAAAAACGTAATATTATATTAATGTTAAATTTAGTATTTTTTTACATTTATTAGGAAACAAAAATTTTTAGAAACAGAAGATAAATTTTAAAAATTTAAATATAACATATTAATCAAAAATAAAGTGCATAGATATGTGTGTAAAATACAAAAAAAATATGGAAAACTACGCAAGTTTAATTGCAAATAAACTACAGAGTATGTTTACCTGTTGCTTGTGCAGTTTGAAATCATCTAAAGTAACTCCTTCCTTTTTTGTTGCGTCAAAATATTTAAAAACATTGCATAGGTATTACTTCACGACTTTGTCTGTTAATAACAGATCTGCGCTTTTTTTCACCCACAATAGAAGACATTATCAAAAATAAAACCAGTCACTTTAACCAAAACACAGAAACAAGAAGCAAACAATGATCTAGTCGTTACGCTACTGACCGTAAGCAAGGACAAGGTTCAAATTGTGAATGGGTGTGGCGATTTTTAAGTAAACGAACTTGAGCATTTGCGCTGGTTATTTAGATTTGGCGTTTACAATACCAGCCTGTAGATGTCCTCTTGGAGTCAATCCGCCTTCGTGCCGGAATTACATACTTTCCAATGGTGAGTAAACATTTTTATTATACATAACATAATTTTACCTCATAGAATTTTCACATACAAATATACATGATTTAATTTTCCTGTTTCTTTATATTTTAGGATTTACTTAGGAAGGATTTCAGAGGTAAAGGAAGGAAATCGAAAAAAACTCACCCCCTTTTCCATCTTTTTTAATACTGCCTTTTGTTTCATCAACAAACTCCAATTTTTAAGATTCCAATCTAGATGGAAGAAAATGAACCTGTCGACCTGTCCAATCAAAATTTTGACAGTTTGGTTATATTATTAAAATTTAGTTATTGTATTTATACAGGTGAGTTTATTTAAAAGCTTTATTGTACACTTTTAATGATAATTTATCTCTTATTAATTCAAAACTTATTTTAAAATTCATGTTGTAGATATTTTATAAATACTTTTTAAAATTCATAATTTGCGTGTGGTAGTACTTGTCTCACCTAGTTATTTTTGAACTTGACAGAATTAGCATTATACGAGGTGCAGTCTAAAAGTCGTGAAGAAAACTTTTTAGATTTTAATTTTATAAATGCTTAATAATTATCTTGATTTGTTGTAATTTCGTAATCTATTATAGAGTATATAGGAATTTAAATGCCATTCAAAAAACTAATCTATTTATTAAAAAATTATTTAACCACTTATTTAACAATGTATTATGATCAAAATTGTTCATAGTATAGCTCAAACTTTGCTTTATTTATAGCTCCTTTAAAAAAACAGGAAATATTTTTACTTTTTTCAATAACTGTCTTCGCGGTGGTTTATATTTTTGAATGCCTTATTATTTTCCGCCATTATTGTGGTAATCGCATCCTTTAAATCATTATTTTCTATTTTCTACACGAAAAGTCGTTGCTTCGTCTTCTTGTTGTCACGGCATTATTGTTTGTTCATGTATGTGAAATTTGCTTCTAAGGTTTATAAAGTACTACTGCTAGTCACTGCGTAAATGAAAACAAACAACACGCATTCACACAAATACCTCCCACCACAGCAATTACAAATCATCAGTGTTGTCCCCGATACGCGAGTTGTAGCTTCGGCATATAGGTAGGGCATGTCCGCCCAGCCGAATGTTGGCAGCTCACTACATTGTGGTCACGTTCATATATCTATATATAGTTCAGCCCGTAAGGATGCCTCCCATTCCCTGCTAGCCAAATATGGACCGCCTTTGGCAGTAAGGATGCCTTCTATGTCCGGAAAGGCAGATATGGACCAGATGCGGTTTCTACTTACAAATTACCTCAAATGGTACGGTACTCCCTGCTTAGAAGCGGCAATCCGAGTACTCGGTTTCCCGTACATGCCGGTGTCAGGCCGAGAGAATGCTAGGATGTTTATGTTTTTTATGATCCAGGTTATTTTCATTAACCCCACTGTTAGACGAAGTTTCATTTAAAAAATGATGTGCGAATATATGGTAAATTTTTGCTTTAAGTCTTGGTACACTAGCAAAATTGGTTTTCAACACTGCTGCAGCGGTCTCGGGTCTTATTTTGCCTATTATTTCCTTTGTTATTCTACGAAATTAAGACAAGATTTTGTATCTTGTGTCCGATTAAAAATTCGAATAATTTCTGTTAAACATTCGATTTAGTTCGACAATAATTTAATTTTTGAATTGGTTACACTGTGTTAATTAGATGATTTTCAAGTGTATAATAAAAACAAGTGGATATGTGTTTTAACCAATTAGAAGATATATGTGACAAAACTATTACTTGTAGACACATAGCATCGATAATTTTGACGAAAAATTGGTAGACTAGGCTACGAGCCACCACTGACACCCTGTATATAGACAAAATTTTGGTTTATGATTACTCAATTTATTTACAACTCAACTATACAACTGATAACATGAACGTACAACATGTATCATAACATGAAACTCTGACATTAAGAACATCGACTTATGTAGCTCGCTTGAATCTTCTAGAACCTTCTCGAACCATCCAGATGTTTCTTGTACCGGAATGACATTTCCAGACTATTATCTGTACTTCTTTTACTTTTACTTAGACGACTTCAGCACACTGTAGGATGAGGTGACATTGCACTTTTTTTATTCATACATTTCCTATAACAGTCACATTCTACTGCAGGGTGTAGGATATTGTCAATGTAAATTAGTGTATCAAAAATATAAATTAGTTTTATTCACTACAAAAAATTTAGTTACAAAATAAATTAATGTTTTAGTGAAAATAAACTGAAGAACAAACTGTTTAAATAAATAAACATTACATTATCTATGTTTTGTAATGACAAATCGTCGATAAATAAATAAAAAAAAAATTCTAATAATAAAACATCCATAATTTAGTGTTAAGAATATATTAAATTAACAATATAGTAAATGCAACTAATAAAAAGACATCTTAAATACCAACAAAAAATTAAGTACTCTCATATATTATATAATCAGTAAAAATTTAAGTACTTAGTTATCTTTGAGTATCTTTTCATCGGGAAAGCTAATTTGAGTACCTAATCTTGTAACGCTATCAGCTGCAGCAACGCAAGATTTTTCTAAAGCCTTCCTCATTGATATATCCTTGTCATTTGCCAAAAGATATGCCAGAGCTCCTATGAAAGCATCGCCAGCTCCTGTAGTGTCCTTGCACTTAACTTGAGGACAACTAACATGGAATGTTTCATTTTTATCTAAATACAATGCCCCTTTTTCTCCTAAAGTGATCACAACGCTGTTACAACCTATGGAAATTAAAGCTTCGGCCGCCGTTTGTGCTTCACTGTAAAAACGATATATTACTTACTGCAAGTTGAATACTATTCTATTTCTACATTTTTTTTTACCTGATACTATCAACGGACAGGCCTGTGAAAATTGAAGCTTCCGACTCATTTACGCAAAAAATAGTAGGCAGCTTTAACAGCTGAGGATTGTACTCGGACAGAGCAGGGGCGCCGTTTAAAATAGAAATCTGAAAGAACAACATTATGTCTAACTTTGTAAATAATTTATTGAGATCAATATATTTTGGAAAAAAATTAATTTAAAAAGAGAAAAGAAATTGTAAAAAAGTAGTACTCACCCCTCTACAAAGCTGTATGGCTCTAATAGCTACGTCTTGCGAGGTTTCCAGCTGTAAAACTAGCACACGAGCTTTACTTATCGCACTTTGAGCCACATCTACATCTGTAATACCAAGTTGGTTGTTCGCCCCCGCTACAATTACAATTTGATTCTCGCCCGTATCGGCGACTGTGATTTGTGCAATGCCGGTAGAATAATTTTCTGTGGCGTTTACGAATTTAGTGTTGACGTTATTTTTCTTGAGGTTTTCGATGTACTTCGGCCCCCAAATATCGTTGCCGACCTTAAATAGTGTTTTTAGATATTTAAATTACACTTTACGGGTAGTAAAAGGTATACAAATACTTACCCTTGTTACGAGTGATGTTTTTCCTCCCAATTTAGCCGCAGCTACGCATTGATTGGCCCCTTTTCCACCGAAATTGGTTACAAACTCGCTGCCGTGTATAGTTTCTCCTGGTTTGGGTAGCCTAGGAGCATAACTAGAATGAAAAACAGCTGTATTTTCGCTAAAAATGTATTAAAATACATTTAACTACCTAACAAAATCTATCATACATGACCCAACTACGACGATATCGTTGGAAGCCATCCTAGGTGTTTAACGGGAACTTTTTATTGATATCCGTTTTTTGTATTGTGTAACAACTATTTAATCTTATCATTATTCTTTTTGGTATAAAAAATAGGTAAATAAAAACATAACCTCTAGAAACTTTTTTGACAAGCGGTGGCATGGAGCGGTGGTTGCCAAAATCAACAATGTTCAACACTATCAAGAAGGATAGCTTAAATGCGTTATTGCATAATGTAGTTTTGTGACGTCATCACAGAACCCCGCATACGTATGAATATTTAGTTTTAATTAAAATTAAAGGTTGTTGGATTCAAAAAATTATTTTTGGCAAATAAGAGTACGATAAATATATTTAGATTAGAATAAGTAGAATCTTTATTTTATTTGTATCATCCATCTAAATCTAAAACAATAGGAACATCGTTAAAGCAGTTGATCGATATACTAAATTATTGTAGGTAATAATTATAAGAAAATATTTACAAAATTCAATAAAAATACTTCTTACACATATGCTGCGTTTGAATATCCACATCCGATGTATTTTTTACATCTGGATCGTTTGATTATCCACATCGGACACATCTGTCTTACTACATTTACGTATATTGAATCACGCGAATAAAGATTTACATCTCAGATGCATCCGATGTGGATATTCAAACGCAGCAATGATGTCCCAATAAAGTTCTGGTTTAGGATGATTATGTATTAGTTATTAGAAAAGTAAATTTTCAGATATTTTACAATGTAATTTTAATCTTCAACACAACAGTGGCATCAGCCCTTAAAAACTGTGTCAAAAAAGTTTTTACATAAATAGAAAAAATGTATCTCACATTTCACAAAAATATTTAAATGTTCTGCATCGCTTGGAAACCCATATCGCATCCATTTTTGTTGACCGTTGAGGCCTATTTCTCTCTAAAAATTTGAAAACATCGATTTTTGATTTTTTTTTTCGGGATATTTCTGTATACCATTTTGCAGAGTTCAACGAAAAAATTCCAATGCCGCAAACCGCATATTCATAGATCAAATGATTACATAAATATTTTATTTCAAGTTTTTTGGATTTTGTTTAAAAAAGTACCCAAAACGTAAAAATCCGTCGAAAACTCGAGGTCGAAAAAAATCATGATTCCTATACTTTCATTATATCTGTATACAGATAGGATAGGAAAGTAAAAATGCTATACAATAGCTTTACCGCGGAAGTCCACGAGTACCACACGTATTTTTATTTAATCTTTAATAACTCAGAACACTAAGGGTCGATTCCACCGTTGTGTTAAACGGAGATTAAAATGACATTGTTAATGTAAAAATGTCATTTTAAACTTCGTTTAACACAATGGTGGAATATGCCTTTAATTACTTGATTGTGACGTATACGTTTAATTAGTGATGACGTAATTACGATTCCACTGACAATTAGTAATAGTATTTTTTTGAGATCGTTTTATTTGTTTTGTATATAATCATTTTATAAACAATTACATACCGTTTTAGCTACTTTTTATAACCTGCAAACAATATTTAATAAAAAAATAAAAACTTATATGTCAAACATTGTTAAAAGTTTGGTTAGATTTAACTGTCAGTGGAACCAAAATTACATCACACTTTTATGGCGTATTGCATGCATAATTCTATTTTAATCAATTTGGTTTAAAATAAAACAATTTGTCAAATTATCATTATATTGAAATAACTAATATCAAGACGTACATGTTAAACACAAGCTTATAATATTGATTATGTACAAACAAAAAAAATACACATTCCATTATACTCTAAATAAATGCATTTTAACGACATATATATTTTTTATTTTTATCAATATTAGTCTAATCTATCGCTTGAGTAAAAATATATATGTATTTTCAAAATTTACAACTTATTGGCAAAACAATATTCAAAAAGGACTAGATACATATAATATAGAATAAACCGTGAAAAAATACAATACTTTTTTTTTATCTAAATAAGGGAATGTCAACCTTTTCAGGTTAAACTCAAAAGAAGTTGTTTAAAAATTAAAGAATACAATATAAGTATCGGCAAAGCTTTTAGAGCCAAGTTATAAGATGTTTATTTGCTTTTATTGAGTTTTTTTGCCGGTAGCCTGGTTGTAACTGGGTGGATTTTCCTAAAAAAAAAAAAAAAAACGAAAAAGAAATTAAACCGACGATTCATTTATACCAAATTTTTCCGAATCACGCAAATTTTGAGATACGCCTTTATTAATGAAACACATCATCAGGTAGAAGTAGATTATGCTGTCTTTAAAGCCTATTTTAGTTCACTATGACATACTTTTTACAGTATATAAGTCATTTTTTATAAAATTCTGTAAAGTATCTCAAAATTTCAAGTGTCCCTCGTATAAAACACTTACGTAATAGGCCGGTGGTGGTATAAAAGCCATCTGGGGTTGATTCGGATCATAATAAGCAGATTGGGCAGCTTCTGCAGCCTTAGCATCTGAAATTCAAGAAACCCCAAAAGAAAAATATGCCATTTTGATGAAGAATGTTCCGAATTCAGTGAAGAGATGATCCATTGAACAAATTCATTGAATAAAAAGTGTAAATTTGTTATTTTTATAACATTTTCATGTAGGTCGGATATTGTTTAAACCGTAAAAAATTAAAACAAATATATTTTGTTTAAGAAAATTTATTTAATCTCTTAGCATTGCTGTAATGTGATTTGTTACGCTTCAATTTATAAATCTTTGGAGGAAACGTTACATGACAGTAATACTAAGAAATTCAGTCACATATTAATGGAATGTGAGATGTTAATATCGTTATCTGTAGTTTCTGTGAGGTCTGTCTCCAACTGGGCCGCCTGGATATGGAAAACAATAAGTCCAAGTGTATAAATACGGAAGAACAACAAACTCTAAAAAGAAAAAAAATGCCAAATTCTGTCCTTGAATAAATAAAACGTCCAAACTCTATGAATGAATGCAAAACGAAGTACAGCAATTTTTATAGCAGACTTTTTCAAATAAAAATGATACAAGAAAATGACAACATTATTTCTTCTTCGTTCTAGCTTCTTGCCTTTTGGCACTCAGCCAAAGTGACCCAGAAAAAAAAGAATAGGACGAAATCCTGGTTAGAATAGAAATGAATGCAACTTTAAAATCACCAACAATCTAATCTAAGATTTTATGGAATTATTATCGATAGTTACATGCAATTTTTCGTGTCTTCCTCAATAATTACTAGTGTTGTATTACTACCCAAATCGGTAAAAGTTAATCGCTAGCCGGCCCCTTCTACTAAGCACTTCGTATTTTTATCTCATCAGTATAAGAAGTACAAAATTTTAATAGAAAAATGATTTATGTGATACAAAATTGTTTTAGCGCATCCAGTACGTACCATATCGCCCGATATTATTTGTTGTGGCCGATGCCGATATACGCATTGCCGATATCGGCCATATATTTTGATTATGAATAATTCACTATAAAACTTAAGAAAAATTGACTGATTATGCCTCTTTAGCAAAAATCAAATCAGGTAAATCAACATCCCTGACTCGATTATATGCAAGTATATAAAATAAAAAATTAATAAATCAAAAATATAATTTTTTACAGAAATAGGTATAGACATTGCTCTAAATAAAAAAAGTAGAATAAATTTCCTTTAAAATGGTGGGTTACTTTTTTTGGATAAAAACGGACTGAGATATAGCTGCTCAAAATTATCTGAAAGCCAACCCTGTCCCCTAAATTAACTTAAACCGCAATCAATATATGGTATAAAATAAATATTTAAATAGAAAAAGGATGAGAGAAGGTCGATTTAAATCGGGATCTTGTACTAAAACCACAAATCAAGAAAGCAACACAGTCCTGACAATATAAAAAAACTTTTCAGCTGCATATGCCAAAAATAGAAGACTATTTTTCATTTAATTTGAATTGCAATAAAATTAATAACAGTAGTTAGTTTTAAAGCATAATGTATTATTTAGCGATTATAAAGTGCATCTATAGGTGGAAGGTATTTGAGGAATTCTAGAATCATCAACAGAACAAAACCTAAATCCGTAAACTCTGAATGAATTAAACTATGAAAATTGTGTTTATCTAAAAGAAAAAATGTTTTAACAACACAAAACTATGTAAGCAACAAACTTTGAAAGTATATTTACACAGAGTCAAAAAATTATTCAAAAAAAGGCATGACTTAACAAAATTATTGGTATTTTCTACAGAATAATCCGTTACAGAACATTAAAAATTAGAAATACATTTATTTACAGCTACACATAACAAAAATTTCTTATATAATGGTAGGTTAAAACTAGCATGGTGACAATTTCCTACAAGTCCATGAAGAAATCATATAACATCTGTTAGAATTGATACTAGAACAATAACAATATATCCCAAGAAAATGGTGGTTACTCCATAACCTCTTTATAGAAATGAACATTAATTCTAAGAGAGCATAAAAGAAGAACTACCAACATATTTCCTATATACCAAAAATTATCGTTACAAAATGAAGCCCGCGCGTGCTCGGTAATAACGTAAATAATAAAATTAAGTCTATAAAGACTCACCTGCGGAATTAACGAAAGGACCATGAGCGCCCGCCGGGGCCTGAGGGGCGTAACCAGCGGGACCGGGATATGGTGCATTTATGCCCGGATATGGAGGCGGTGCGTCGGTCATGAAGACGCCGTCTGCGGGAGGATGTTGGGGGAAAGCGTTAGTGGGCGGCGTCCAGCCATAATAACCTGCAAAAGCAAATTTTACTAACGCTGTCTATCTACATTAGGTGATAGGTGACATTTAGAGGACGTGACATTTATATGACGGGTGACATTTAGATGAAAGGTGAGAGGATAAGAACATAAAAGAGGACTTTAATGTAGTGAATAAACTGAAAACGAAATTTGGATAAACAGAAACCTATTTAGACATAGCATGAATAGGAAAAATCTAAAAAATAATGTTGCTAAATGACATAAACCAGTGTAATATGATAAAAAAAATTAAAAGCACAAACATTACTCTAGTTTTATAATGGTTTCTTACCTTGTGGTGGTGGAGCATACGCTGGTGGAGGGGCGGCGTACCACTGATTTTGGGGTGGTACGTATGGGGGTGGAGCTTGCATACCGCCTCTAGAAGCTGCAAAAATAAAATTGTCAATGATGTTAACAAACCATAAGTATTTATTTGAAAATTCAGATATTTTCTTCCAATTTAGTGTTTGGATACTTGGGTAGTAACCCTTTATCAAACCTTGGGAATTATATTTTCCCTTAAAATATGGAAAATATACTAATGTAAGATTTTTGGTCGCGCTACTCTCGCAACGGAAAAATAGTTTCCACACATATTTTTTTATACTGTAAAATTGGGGCAATTGGGGTATCTGTGGTGTTTGCTTGTATTTTGATTATTTTTGTCATTTATTGCCAATATTTTTTCCTTGTGATTCGTTTATCTCATTGCAGTCATCCATTTATGTTCTTTGTAATGTTTTATAAGAGTTTTAATGTCCTTGTTGTAACCATTAATTAGACGTTTGGCTTCTTCACTAGAGTTGTTTAAATAGTCTCTGTACATTTTTATTTTGCTTTTTATTAATTTAATATTGAGTTGCGGTAATTCATAATTGTAATAATTAACTTTTATTAGGTGAATTGTTAATAATGGCATTAGTTAATTTTTCATTAAATTTTGTTATTATCTCTGGGTTTACTGGCCTGTTTGCTATTTCTGTGATGTATTGCAGCATTGTTTCATTGACTGAGTCTATATTACATTTGTTGATATTAATTCTATGTTCCTCTTCATAGTTAATATTTCTGTTTAGGTCTATTGAAACTTCTACAGCAGTGTTTACACAACAAATCCCAATTTGTTTCAATTTTTGTTATACCTATTCTATGTTTTTTGTATATAACATCAGATCCGGAGTAGTGTCTTGATTATTGTTCATGTGAAATTTTAGTGGGGTTTTGCCTTTTTTAACTGGCTATTTTTTGTAAAATCCTGTAGGGCTTGATTACAATTAGAAGAACACAGCTACGTCAACATTTGGCAAAGTAATTAATTGGTTATCGCCGCCTACTGGGGGTTTAGTGGAGTGTTAATATTACAGGAAATATTGTTTTATACCTAACAACTTATTTTTTATTTATTGATAGTTATAGATAATATGTATTCTAATTGTTCTAATTGTAATGCGCTAGTTCAGTATGATGTCATTTTGGTTCCCCTGACATTTAATTCTAACCAAACTTTTAACAAAAACATCAATAAATTTGACATATACGTTTTTACTGTTTTTAGTTGATTTCTGAATATTGTTTATAGGTCATAAAAAATAGTTTATAGGTATGTAATTGGTAACTAAATGATTGTATATTTGATGTATGTTATCTACTTACTTTAGGAATATATTTATAAAAGTGGAAAAACAATATAATTTAGGTAAACAAAACGAACAAAACGCACTCAAAAAATCTACTGTCACTTTAATTGTCAGTGGAACCATAATTACATCATCATTGAATTAGCGTATCGGACCTTGTTTTTGACTTTATAAAATATTGACTGTTCTATTACTGAAATGGGATGTACATATACCAAAATAATGAGGTTGGTCTTCTAAACAGGGAACCGATAAGTGTGCTGCTTCATTAAGAGGATTGTTAATTCTTGGAGGATTTTCTTTTTTTCATTTGTTGGCTTGGATGAATCTGCACTAAACTTCCTCCTCTTATGTTGACATTTACATTTTTCTGGATAGTTTTCCAATTTTTTTTATGTTACTTTCCTCATTAGTTTTATGGATAAGCAACAATTGATGTTTTTCTGTTCCATTATATTGCAACTTTCCAGCCTTATGGCCATACTGTTCCAAGGGCCAACACCGTTTTAATTTTTCTGCAATGATCTATAATTTCTAGACTAGTTACCCAGTACGCGCCCTGAGCGAGCTTACGCTTGCTAAATTCGCTAGTTGAATTACTATTGTTCATTGTTACGATCATTACACTTGACGAAATCTGGTAGTCAAAAGCAGAAATAGGTATAGCTAACAGATAACCGCGGGTAGTACTTTCGAAATCGCAGTAACAATTAAACATTCGTGAATAACTTCAGTGGTTCAAAAAATTTTTGGTGTATTCCACCCACTTCGAGAGAATATAAAAAGGTTAGCGGTGCTACCGTGAGTTAGTCTGCCTAGGGAAGGCGACGGAAGCGAAACTGTGAAATAAAGTAGTGCATTACTGCGTTTAAAAGACATCTTCGAACCAACCAACGCCCTTATGTAACAGCATTTTGATTTGACTTGTTTTTGTGTGTGATTTACTAGTAGGGAAAAAAAGCGAAAAATAGACAGTGAATGCAGAACATTTAAAGATTAATGGAACTTTCAATATTTCGTGATTAAGTCCAGTAATAAGGCGCTATTTGATTTGCAATGAAACCATAGTAGTTCTCTAAGAATAAAACATTAATCTGACAAAGGTTAGCAAAGTTGAGTTCAAAATCAGTGATTCAAACCGAAAACAGAACTGTCAAATCCAATTCTCAAATACAGTTCACGAATTATTTCTTCAAGAACACATTGATTATAACAATCTATTAGCTGATCGAGTGGAATTCAGTGATTCTGAATTGGTTTGCAAAATGAACAAAACCCAAAACAAACCTATTAGTCATTATTATGAAGCTTCTGTACTTCTGAATCTTCAGATTATTTAGTTGATTTGTTTGTGTTATGTTATAGATAGTGTTTTCCATAGGAGTTTTGTTTTTAGCTGGGATATGGGAGTAAAATAAACTTTTGTTATAATTTTTAGTGAATGATTTATAATTTGTAGAATACATTTGTGTAGTGTGTTGAATATATTAGTATCTTCTATACATTTACATTAACTGTTTGTGAATATGAAGACCTGTACAATTTCAAAAAGGCAAAGGAATTTCATTTTACTTGTAAGTATAAACAATCAAATTAAAAGGAATAAATCAATGTTTTTGAAAAAAAAAAAAATAAGATTTTTGGCATTCGGTTTTTGTTAATAAAAGTGTAAACTCCAAACGTCCAATTAAATAATCTGAAATTTCATTTTTTTATTATTCGTTTTTGTTTTCCCAATGAAACTACGCCACTGGAAATTTTCTATGTTTATGTAGAGTACTTATCAAAACAAACCACCTGAAATTCCAGGATATGTTTGTGACATCGACTAACGTTGAAAATGTTTAAGTCTGTCTCTCTCATGCTCCCTCTATATATCCTAGCTCTGAGGATTCAACTAACCAGATATAACCAAGTCCTTGTAAAGAAAACTTTTCATATTCCTTAAACATTGAGTGTCAAAACTAAAATTTCCACTTTTAAAGATGAAATGAGCCACATCAGAGTGCCACTACTGATTGAATGCCTCTACTGGGAAAATACTGTATTTAATATTTTTTACTTGTTTATATAATAAATATTTATTTGTATAGGTATTAGGATTAACTTATTTTTAATAAAGCTATTATATACCTAAAATTACTCAATAACTAGTTCTACAACAAGTAACTTCTCTGTATACCAGAAGAAAACATAGATATATGATGTTACCATTTAATTTTATTACTTAATGGAAGATTTTATCCTGAAATTCTATGGAAAATTGATCTTTTTGTTCCTACTAGTAATACCAGGCAATTACAAATATGTTACATTCCCTTTTATAGACTTGACAGTACTTTTAAAAAGTTGTGTTCCTCTGATACTTAGATGGCAAACTCTTTGGATAATCTTATAATATATTCATCTGTAAATATATTTCAGGATACTTAATATTCAAAACTGAGTGTATTGTTGTCGTAGATATGTATTGATTGATAGTTAATAAAATTCCTTTATACAGTTAACATGTCTTTTTGTGGTCCCCCAAAGTCCTATTATAAACTGGCTTCTAATTACTGGCACACTGTCATTTATAACTACATCAAAAACAAAATGAGCTTATTGCCAATAAATATACAAATAAATAAAACATTTCTAGTAATCATTTTTAAAATTTTGCAACTTTTAAATACATATTAATTTTCTCTAAATCTGGACCTTAGAACCAAACTAAAAATAATAAGACTTAATAATTAGCACCAATGAAAGGAGCAGGAAAAATTATGTAGGAGTAACCAAAAACTTGAAAATGAAAAGGTGGACCTAATACTGTTTGGCTTTGAGGTCCAGTAAATAGATTTATGCATAATATTCAAACAAATAAAACATTTCTACCTATTTAGAACTAATTTTTAAGATTTTGCAGTTTTTAATTAGGCACTTTATAACTTGCATTTTATTTCTTGTTTCACATTTTGTCATAACAATAACAACTTATTTACAGAATAATTTAGATCACCTTTATTTTTAAATAGAAAAGTTGAAACAACATTTAATAATTTAAATGCAAAATTTTCAATATTTCAAAGCAGTAAAAACCAATTTACACAATTTCGATGACTAATAAAACCTATCATTATCACATAAAATGAATAATGTTAATTAAGTAGGTAAAAAACAGAACAGTGAAAGTACTAATTATAAAAAAAAATTGACTTACCAAAGTGAGCAGCCCTAAGCATAGACTCGCCAAATTCTATAGCTCCACCTTTCTTAAAAGTTATTTTAAATTTGGCTTCGCCAATCCAATTGCCATTTGGTTGAGCTCTAACTTTCCCTTTTATGTAATTAGCACCGAAAACTGGTTGTTCTACCTCAACCTGAAGATAAATTATATAAGAGATCGCGTAATATTAAAAAGCCGATACGTACTTCGCTAAGTGTTACGAACGGGAAGCTAAAACTAAGCATCTCATCTCCACCGGATTTGTTGATGAAAATTACGCGGTGAGTGGTCAGGTAAATCAGTCCCTTTTTGGTCCCCTGAAAAGCTCCGGATTGCTGTGCGGACCATTCCACCGCCACACCATCCGAGTACAACAAAATCCTAGGAAAATAATCATTTTTACAAAAAAAATTGTCTTATCTTAACAATATTATTCCTACGTACTGTTCTCCGTTGTGAATCAACACTCCGCCATTTAAATGTGCTGTATTCAACGACATTTTGATGATGAATGTGTTTTTTAAAGACACTCGTTAATTTTTTATTTATTGTGAAAATTCCAGAAAATGTATCGATGAATTTACGAACAATGATGTCATGACATCTGAAAAAAAATTTGATTTGACCTTGATATATGCTACTGAAACGTCACTGTCAACTTCAAAAGTGTAGGCAATTTTTCGCGTCCTATTTCTAATATAGTGACCTCCATGATAGTGACCATCGCGATTACAGCGGCCGTAACCTTTAAATCGTGACGTCACAAAAATAGATTAATCGTAAATTTAAAAGTCGGTAGCCGTTTTTTGTAGACCTAAATGGACTTATATAAGGATTTCATAAAACTGGTGGTCCCAATTGTAATAGCTCGGCGTTATTTTGCAATAAAATGTTAATTTCAAAACACTTATAAGACATTTTGACTAGCTCATAGAAATTTAACACCAAACATTACTTACCTTTAATCAAATTAAAAACAAATGAGCACATTGACCATATAGTTTTCTCAGGGGTCTATTCTGTAACACATCCGTTAAAATTTAGAGGCCTTTAAAAATTAAACTTTTAGCGGCCCGTTAATTTTTTTAACCAAAAATGGTATTCTGTTTACACAATTTTTAGAGGCCTGTTAAAAATTATTAATTTTAACGGATTCTCTTAAAAATGGTACTTGACACTTGACAACATCGCATTTAAGATTTATTTAAACTAGTTTGAAAACCAAAACAGTTAAAAATTAAAGGCGAATTTTAACATCCCTTTAAAAATTATTGTTATTTGAGGACTATTTTAAAGGAATCCGTTTAAATAATGACAAGTAAGTTAGTGGATACGAAAATATTTTTAAAGGCCGCCAATATTTTAACGGCCGTTAAAATATAAAGGAATTGTTACAGAATAGACCCCTCAGTCGTGAATTCGGCTTTTCTAATAGACACCTTTGGAGATAATAGTTTTCTGGGAGAGATGGGCGCCACTAATTCTCTTTTTTTATTATTAGAAAGCTAGTGAGAATTATACTCTAGCTTTATCAAAAGGAAATTAATTAAAACTTATATAAAATTTAGGCAAAAGAGAATTGTTGTAACCTTTAAGAAAAAATACGATTCAACATATATATTTATAAAAATGAATTAGTTTATTCAGTAAAAGTAAAAATGTTAAGGAACAAGTAAACTGGTAAATTTAAATTTTATATCTCCAATATTAAAATTAGCCACTATCTAGTTACCACTATATGGTTTTGGGTGGCAACTTCCTTAGGATACAGTAGAACTTCTATAATTCTGCTATTCGAGCACGAACACCAAATCTCGTTCTTTTTATAATTCTGCTTTCAGGAAACTGCTTCAATATCCAAAATGACTTATACTTTGAAGCCCAGGTATAAATGCTAACTCAAGTTCTAGTTTCTTGTTCTATTTCTAGCTGCTTCTATTCGCTTTCTAAACAAAAAATAAATTCTGTTTTTCACGTGCCTCTTGTATGAGATATAAATTAAATTTGAAACATCTACTTTTTAAAACTAAATCAAGGTACAATAAAAACTAATTACTATAAACACTGTGCAATTCCAGCAACCAAAATGAATTATAAAAACATATTTAAAAAATTTAACTTGACTTGCAAAAAAATAAACTTATAACTATAACAACAGGTGGAAATATAATTTCTACCGAGATATTTTTATAACGACATATACCATTTAATTCTAAAATTAAACACTAGAGAGGGCTAAGTTCGGCAGTAGTGCTGCCTCTATATTTCACGCACGGTCCCTATATGACGTGTATTTATTTATTTATCTTTTTGGGTAGTCTCATTTTTCCGTCTGATTTTAATGATTTTTTGTTGGCTTTGGCTTTTGGTTTCTGTTTATAGTTTCGTCTTAGTTTTTTGCAAAATTGTGATGTTTTGCTTTTCTATTTCCTACTGTGTTTTGCAATAATTTTGGTGTTACGTTGAAAACTTCTAGAAAAACTTCATTGATTCACCATGCATCATAAAAAGACAAACGGGTACAACAACTAATTGATAATCAATTTATCACTGGACTGGATTCCGAAATCATTTTTCACATAAGAGAGTAATACCACCATCTGTGTTTGGAAGGAAAATACCTTTTTATCATTGAATGAATAGTTAAAAGGATTCACCTTTTAATACAATACCTATATTACATTTGTTCTCGGTTAAAAAGACATTTATTGATAGGTATTTTAAAGATTTGCTCCAAGTAAGTATTCGTTAAATATATGTATTATTATTTGTATTTATTTTTATCTAATAATATTTATTCAAGTTATTAATAAACATCTTAAGAATGTTCTATTTTATTATTTATTGATATATCTTATATTTATTTAATAATAATATGCAAAACTAACTGTCCACATCAGACCCCTTATAACAAATTAATTCCTCAAATTTGGTATAATCGACCTAAATTATTTTGTAAAATAAAAGTCTCGAACTTACTAGTTCCATACTTTATTTTATAAAATAATTTATGTGGAAATCATTTGAAATTTAATTTAAAACTACTACCTACTCCTAAAAATTACAATTTGAATTTACCGCCATCTGTCAATTGTCATTTTAGTTCCTGCTCCAAACTCAAGGTGACGCTAATTTTGTTTAAAAGTTTAACAACGGTTTAACATTGGCGTGGTCTCTAGAAGATACCTACGTGCTTTGTGGATTAGCCTATATTTTGTTTTAAAGTGCCTAATAATGCTTTAATAATGACTTCTTTTTTTTATGTACTGCTGTAAGCCAGCGCCAATAATGTCAAATTATGACAAATTACGGGAAACGTTAACTTTCCAGTTAGATTTGAGTGTACAAAATTCTTCTTCGGATAGAATGGCTTCAACTGAGCATTTACCATAGGGAAAGGCCACCAAATAGCCACTTCCCAGAAATGGGGCACCTATAGAGACACCTCTCGGGGATGTTATTTTCGGTACAAATCATGCGCTGTACACAAAAATTGTATACAGCGCATGATTTGTACCGAAATATTATCGTTTTCGCGCTTGTTGGAACAAACCTATCGACACTCTCCAGCGACAACCAGCAGATTTTTGATGAGTTAATAACCTTCACGACTTTGCGTGACGAGCTGAAAAGATGGCTGTCTGTAGACACCCCTCGGTATCAACCAGCAGGTTTTTGACGAGTTGATAACCTGCAGTACTTTGATCATGGAGGAAGGATACTTTGATGAGGGAATATGGCTAAGACACCTCTGGGCACCTATCCTCGACTAGTGCGTTTAAGCGCTCGCTTTGAAGAGATGCGAGTGGTTCAATGCGAAGACGCATTATAAACCGTATTCTTAACCCTTCGTATCTGTGCCTTCGTAATCATCTTTTATAAATGCGAATGGCAACCATGTATGATCGACGATTATTTGTGTTAAATTGTCTGCTAGAAAGGGGACTCAAAGTTCACACCGCTTGTTTTGTGAAAATTATTCGCAAAAAAGAAGCAATATTAATATGAGCAATGGTTTTGAGCATGAAGTGGTGGTTTTGGGTTGTTTTTTGATGTACTGTTTGGCTATAGGTACATAATTTGCAGCGTTATAAAATGGAAAATATTAGTAAAAAGACACATCGAAACAATCTGATAAACGCTTGATCAGAAAGTCTGAAAGGAGCTTTCCTATCATCATAAACTCTTCGAGGATGATTATTTGCCTCTTCTAATTTGTAATAAGATATTTAAAAAAATTATATTTGCCATCATACCTATAGGTCACGATCAATTTATGAAACAAAACAAAAACACTGCAATATTAAAACGTGCATCCAGTTAGACCTTCGCAAGCTCTTTGGACCTTCGCATTTGAATGCGAAGAGCAAAAACCCACTCGCTGTCAAATACGCACCCGCAATATAAATTCGAACGACCAAGAATAGCTACAACACGCTTTTGAGCAAATACGCATTCGCATTTGGTAAATGCGCATTCGCATTGATTAAAGCACCAGTCGAGGATAGGTGCCCTGGGCAGAAACCAGCAGGGTTTAACAAGTTGAGAGGCAGGTTCTTTATGCCCCTGGAGGATTCACACTGGGCTTTATGATGCATAAGTGCTGAGGAGCAAGCCACCCTCCCCCACCTTACAGATACAGAAATAACAGATGACTTTGTCATAACAAATGACTTGACGATGCACAGCAGATCTAATTTTTAATGTGTCATCATCATTAGGGAAAGAAAAAGTTGAGATCGAGGCCGAATAATGTTTAGTTGCCCTTACATCCAGATGTAAACACTATATATAATTTACCTTTTAAAATAATTGCGAGTGAACACACTTAATTTTAAAGTAAATTTTATTAAAAAGAAGCAGCAAATTGTAGCTGGGTTATGTTTAGTATAAGCAGATTTATCTTTGTAGTAAATTTAAGTAGCAGGTAGTAAAGAGAGGAGTCGCTACTCGAATATTGAAGCCGTGTATCCCACTGATCTGACAGATTGGTGTATTACCCGCGTCATATATTTGTTACCATCCTAATGTCATTTGTGTATTATGTTTCAAGAACCAGATTTATTTGCAGAAAAGTAGGACAACCAGGACAAAAAATCTGATGTGCCCAATACATGACTTTCCTATCTAGTTATTATAGGCTTTTTCCGGTTATTTTGTACAACATATTGCAGCATCTCTATAAATGTTTAGAGGATAAACTAAATATATACATTGTCCACATACATCTACCTCGAAACATTTTTCTATAGATATTCATTGAAAACGAAAATACTGAAAATTTTAAATTTAGCACTTTTCCTACAATCTTTCCATTACGGTCCATTTTAGAAAAATCATGTATTAACAAAAATTATAGAGATCGCGGATATCGCAAACAACTTTTAGTTCAACAATTTTCATAAAAATCAGAATTTTGCACATTTTGTCAAATTTCTCGAATACGGACCATTTCAGGAAATTTTGACATAAAGCAAAAATTATAGATAATAATATTAGAAGTAACTTTTATTTGAACAATTTTCTTCTCCAAACATAAATAACAGATATATTCCATAAAATACAAAAACGGCCTCCCATAAAGTACCCCCCCAGATGTTCCGACTTTGTCCAAAATCTAATCATTTCACGTCAGGCCGAAATAAATCTTAAGTATAAAATTTAATATTTTTTTCTTTATCCGTTTTTGAGTTTTCTTCAAAATTCGAAATTTACACATTTTCCCAAATATCTCGAATACGGTCCATTTTTGAGAAATTATGTATAGAATAAAAATTATAGATAATTATATTACAAACAACTTTTAATTGAACAATTTTTATAAAAAATTATTTTTTTTACATTTTGTCAAATTTCTCGAATACGGACCATTTTAGGAAAATTTTGTATAGAACAAAAATTATAGATAATAATATAAGAAGTAATAAACGGTTAAAGAGAAAAACACCAAATTTTAAACTTAAGCTTTAATCCATCCTGCGGTGAGCTGATTAAAGTTGGGTATAGTTGAAGCATCTGGGGAACACTTTACAGTCTGGACCGTTTTTTGTTAGGCAACCCATTTGCGATATATGTATAAACATATATTTTATTTAATAAAAAGAAACTTTCATCCATTAAACAGATGGTTGAAGATCGACCTTACTTCGGATCTTAGACAAAGTATTCAGCTGTTATGGATCTTCGAATAGGCGGTTCATTAATAAAAAACTGCCGCCGGCAGTGTTGCCAGTCTAGTACAATTGAACTAGATCTAGTACATTTTCTGAGAATCTGGTACTCTAGTACACTCGAAACAAAATCTAGTACTTTTTCAGCGTGTTTCCATTTGAAGTGTAAAATATATTGGTAAAAAAATTGCAAGAGAAATTAAAATAGTTGTTAAAAATTACTTCAGAGATAAAATAGTAGACATTTCTCGAGAGATAAAACATCGTTTAAAAATTGCACGAGAGATCAAATATTGTTCAAAAATGGCTTGAGAGGTAAAAAAGGGCGTTAAAAATTGGTCGAAATATAAAATAGTATTAGAAATTGCTTGGTGGGTAACATATATTGTTTTAAAATTGTTCTAGGGATAAAAATAGTGTTAGAAATTTAATGAAAGATAAAAATATTTAATAATTTTTCGAAAGATTAAATAGTATTATAAATTGTTAAAATCGTGTTCAAAAATTGCTCGAGGTAAAATAGTATTACAAAATGTTAAACCCTTGTTAAAAAATTCCTCGAACTATAAAATACTATTAGAAAATGCTTAAGAGATAAAATATTGTACAAACATTGCTCGAGATATAAAACATTGTTAAACATTTATCGAGAGTTAAAATATTTTTATAAATTTGTCAAGAGTTAAAATATTGTGCAGTTTGCTAAAGAGATAAAAAAAGTTGTTAAAAATTGCACGAGAGAGAATAATGTTAGAAATTTATCGAAAAATAAAATATTGTTTAAATAGAGCTCAAGAGATAAAAAAAAGGTTTAAAAACTGTTCGAGAGATAAAATATTATCAAAAGGTATTAAAATCTTTTTAAAAAATTGCTCGAGAGATGAAATAGTGTTAGAAATTGTTAAAATTTTGCTCAAAAATTGCACAAAGAGATCAAATATTGTTCAAAAATAGCTTGAAAGGTAAAAAAGACTGTTAAAAATTGCTCGAGTGATTAAATATTGTTAAAAATTGTACAAAAACATTGCTCGAGGGATAAAAAAGTTGTTAAAAATTGCTCGAGAGATAGAATACTGTTAGAAATTTATCAAGAGATAAAATATTGTTTCAAAATAGCTCAAGAGATAAAAAAAGATTTAAAATTTGTTCGAGAGATAAAAGAGTATCAAAAGGTATTAAAATCTTACTCAAAAACTGCTCGAGAGATAAAATAGTGTCAGAAATTTGTCGAGAGATAAAATATTGTTTAAAATTGTTGTGTTCGTGTTCTCTATAAACCTTTTTTTGCTCTTTAATGACCACACTTCATAATTAGAAAAATCTGGTAATTTTATAGAATCTAGTACATTTATATGAAATCTGGTACATTTTTTAGATAAATCTGGTACATTACAAAAATATATTCTGGCAACACTGACTGGGGTCTATTCTGTAACAATTCCTTTATATTTAACGGCCTTTAAAAATATTTTCTTCTTTACTTCTGTCATTATTTAAACGGATCTTTAAAATACATTAGAGTACTATCTTAGGCCCGTATTTATAAACAAAACTCAGCTGAGTCGGACTCATAGATAAATTAATATTTATAACTTAATTTCCACTTAAACGGTTTAGTGAACAAGCAGCAGTTGTAGGTATTAGGCTGCTGAAAATCAACGACGACTTTAAGAAAAATATAGACATTGCGATTTGTGAGCCGGAATTCTGGCTGAACCGCAAACACTAACTTATTTCAAATAAAACTAGCATGTGCAAATACGCAATGTTTAAGCATATACGGTTCCATATGATGATAACTGACAGTGAAATGCTATGAACCAAGCAATTACCTTTCCTTTTTGGTCCTATTTCTGTGGCACACCCTGCATAAAAGTGATTTTCCATTTTTAAAGAAGAAATTATGTGAACAAAGACCAAAGCAACTGCCAAAAATTAAAATATCTAATATTTTACTTGTACCATCAAAAGTGTGCATAGAAGGCCACCTAATTTTAATCTCCTTAAAATTTATGTTAAATTATACAATAACTACCATCTTTTATTTAGTTTTAATTTACAATTTCTGATTAGATAATTAAATAGTTTTTTCAATAATTAAATACTGAATATGCGTAGTTCTTGTTTAAATAGTTAAATTGCTTCCATTTAAATAGGTAGTTTTCCAAAAGTTGATTTGTTCTGAAACAAAATTCACTAAATCTAAACATACAACCGAAAATTAGCCTAGCCCACCCATGTCATTTTTAGAATAAACGTTTTAACGAACGTAGCATCTCCTTCAATATCCTACCTCCATGTTTTGACCCAAAGAAGACAAATCGACACACTGACGTACATCGCTATATAATGCATAAAGCACTAGACCCTAAAGATATGCCCTGCGCTCTAGGAATAAGCAAGTAAAATACCTTTACGCCGCTCTCTCATAAAAAGAGGACGTTTTAGTTTCGCTACTTTTGGTTTCACTAGGCGATATGAACAAACAAAATTTGTATGGTTCATAAAGTTAAAATGAATTTTCAGTAGATGAATCTATACAAATTTTGCTTATAGAGAAGGTATTTTATTTGGAACTGTTTTTTTTAATTTTATTTCAAATTGTATCTTTTAATAAAAATATTTTAATGAGAATTAGTACATGTATCTGACTTTTCCGAAATGGTATTAGGTATAGTTTTTTGATTTATTTTATTTTTTTTAACTATATACTATTAAAAAAATATTTTAATTAGATTAGTTATCTAACTCATTTTGAATTATTTTATTGTTGTACCTGTTTTTTTAAATTTCTCAGGATATCTACAAATTTTCTTAGATTGTTTTTACTGATTTAAAGATTTATAGGTTAGCAATCAACATTCTTCTACAAAATTACAATTAGTTATTTGTATTTTTTTATGATTTAGGTATAAAAACAATAGAGCATCTTTAAAAAATGCAATTTAATATTAATAACCAAACAATAGAAAAAGCATTTCATTTTTTAACAACTTGTATAACATCCTCGTCATGCATGGTGTGACTAGTACCCACACGCTGTGGCGAATACTTTGTGCTGGTACCCCACACCAAGGCATATTTGAATTGCTCCGCTAAAGTTCTATGTATGGCGTGACAAACGTGTTCGACTGTGACGCCCCTCCTTAAAATTAATCCATCACTAAAGTCTGGAGGCTGACCAGGTTTCTTTGTGTAGACCCTGATCAAGCTGAGATACTCCCATAGGGTGGATAAGAGATAGTCTAGATTTAGTTTCATATTACAACTGAAAATAAAAGAACATTACAAAAAATTAATAAACTAATTGTACTCACATACCTTACTACTATACTGTTTGGTGTCCTTGCTATTCTATCAACTTCTTCAATAGTTATCTGATCTATTTTATTATAGACATACAGACAAGGCAAATAAACTCGGTTGGCACAAATCACATCTATCAGTTCATCAGCATTGCAGTCCTCCCTAAACAAGACTTCTGCATTGAAAATTTTATACTCATGAAGAATCAGCTGCACCAATTTCTCATCTATGTTGGTAAGGGGACAAGTAGAGTTAAAGGAAATACCTCCACCTTTCTTTATCTAAACAAACATAATAATTACAAAAAAAGATCTATTCAAAATGCTTTGTAATGTATTTATTACTTTAAAGTAAATATTGGGCTTTTGTTTGTTGAGTCTGATCCCCACACTTTCCAATTCTTTCTCTAACAAATCCCTATGGACATCTTTTTTGGTAGCGTCTAACATCATAAGGACCAAATCAGCTGTTCTTGCTACTGCTATAACTTGTCGACCTAAAAATAAGTTCAAAATAGAGTATAACTGTATTAATTTGAAAAAAAAAAAATGTACTGTACCTCTTCCTTTTCCTTGAGCAGCTCCTTCTATAATTCCAGGCAAATCTAAAAGTTGAATATTGGCTCCATTATAGTCTATGACACCTGGTATGCAAGTAAGAGTTGTAAATTCATAAGATGCAGCTTCACTTTCAGTTTTCGTTAACGTTGATAGCAACGTAGACTATAAATGACAAAAATAAGCATACAATTCTAAATAAATTAAAGACAATTAGGTATTACTTTTCCTACAGATGGAAACCCTATAAGTGCTACTCTCGCATCACCGCTTTTTAATACATCAAATCCTTCGCCCTTTTCCGATTTTTTTGATGGTTCTAACAGCTGCGATCTATATTTTGCGAGTTTTGCTTTCAGCAGTCCCAAATGATATTCGGTAGCTAAAAAATAGGTTAGAATGGTGCAGAAGCAACAGTATGATGACAGTACCTTTATTTTTTTGCGTCCTAGATATTTCCTTTTCTACTTCTGAGATTTTCTCTAAAATACCCATGATTGATTTTTTATAACAATATTGTAACTAAAAATTAAAGATTTTTTTAAAATCAACATGCATCACTTCTCTCTTCAGTGATTTGACTTTGATAGGTTTGTTCTGGTTCTCAAAATGAAAACTGTTTTGAAACTGCGCCGGACCGTATGCGTAAAGGCAAAAAATCCCCGACTGTTTGAAAAACCAGAACACGTCATGAAGGTGTTTTGTTTATTGTTTATTATAATAATGAAGTTCCTTTTGAAAGCTCAGCTTCAAATAACATTTGCATGTATATGTTTATCATTATCATCACATTTCAATGGAATAAATAAAAACAGAATATTAAAAAATTCATAATTCTAAAATTGCTTTAATTTACAAATAAAACAAGAACAAGAGACATTCGTCCACATATAAATAAACAATTTGGGATTGTATACGTTTCGTATGGTCTAAAAAGCCAATACAATATTCATAACACTTCAAAAACGCATGCGCGGTCAAAACAGTCCGAGTCGATCCACACTCCCAAGCATGAACACTTTTTGACTGTTTACAACAATCACGGATTATTTCGGATACGAAACCAGAACACTGGACTGAGAGATCCGAAGTAGTCCCAGAAAAACCAGAACACTTTTTATCTACTGCGCATGAGCCCGACAGTTGTGGATCGTTATTTCTCAAAACCAGAACAGACCTGACGTTTACGAAATCACCGATTTTATCCACTTCATTGGATTGGAGTACACCCAAATCTGTGGATTAAACGGACACGGAGCATGAATTGCCGAACTCATTTCACAATAATTCAAAACATAACCCCAAAATCGCGCTTTTGAAAACTTCAAAATGAAATTTAAATTCACGTCAATCTTGTATTTTTTTGTTTTAATTGTATAAAGTTTTCAAGTATATATATTTTTATAGTAATGTA